CAGACATAAATACTTAAATGCATCAACAAAAGCCAGATGTGAGAGGATGATATGAACTCTGTCTCACTGAACTACACCTATATTTATTATTATTAATAATTTATTATTTGTATAATTTATTATTATTATTATTATAAAAGATACCTTTTGGCAGTCTGATCAAATAATACATGATTTAAAAAAAATGTGGTATACACCGTATATATGTTACTTCAGAAGAATGCTAATATGCTATTTAAACATGCACTGCATGGTCTATGCAATCGTCATTTGAATCTAAAAAGTGATTCTCCTGGAGGTTATTCTCCATTCTCTTTCTTTAAGTCTCTCTCCAGGCAAAAGCCCAAGAGATGCTGCCGAGCTTTAATAAGCTTGACCAAACAGTTCTGCTCATTAGCATGTGGTAATTTCCTCGTGTTAATTAGCAGTTGTGAACAATGACTCCACACTGTTGCTGGCATCACCATCCGGACTTAATGAACTCAGGCAAGCAAGCAAGCAATGAAAACTGTCCAGCATTCTAAAACACAACACTGCAATCATCTACAACAATCTGTTAGTGTGCAAAAAGATACACCTAATGCAATTTTGTGGTGTGACTATTATATATTATTTAAAAGATGTATACTATTTATCTTTCTTGAAGTCTCCTGCTCTGTATTTCTCAGTCAGTTTGAGGATGAGACTCTAATTCAATTACACACTCTCATACACATTCATCTCTAACTGACTGATGGGCCTTGAACTTGGAGACTCAAGGAAAACCCTCAAACTTTCATTCCCTCTCCACCCTTTTCTCTATCGTTCTATTTTTTTAAAAGAACACGCTATCTATTATTTATCACAATTCTATGACTATTTCAGTCTCATTCTGTAAACTTTTGACACTTCTGGTTCATGCAATGAGCTGATGAGTTTCTCAAACTTAACACAAAATCACCACCTAGTGGCTCAACCTGAGTTTACTGTAGCTCATGTAGCTTTTAGAGTATTATTCAAACCAATGCATCTTCACTACAATAAAAAGGCAATGAGCTGCAGTTAACATAAGAAACAGCTTATGATAGTCTTCAATTAAGAAAAGGTATGTGATGTTTGGTTACTTATGTTTCCTCACACATTTTTTGTCCATATAGGCTATGTATACTGTATATATTCACAGTGCAGTTTACAAAAATGTATGTAAACTGTGAATTTATGACCAGTTCCTGTAGTTGCAGTTGCTATTTTTGTATTAAAAATCTTCCAGTGTTTATCCAAACCAATGAAACTTTGAATGATGAGGAGATTTTAGCATATACTGCTCTTTATGCATGCAGGCTTTAGACTTCTTTATCCTTGGACTGCTGGAGGTCTCAGATCTCAGTCTGCTACAGAGGACAGTCCAGGTCTGGCAGCAACTGCGCTCAAAATAACTGCTGGTTGGGGTATTTCTAGGACACGTAGCAAAATACAGCATCTGATTATTTCAGGAAAATGATAAGTAGTCATTGAGTATGAGTTCATGCTGCGCCAGCCTGTTTTACTGGACCCTGCTTTATAAGTTGTTGGTGACTTGGCCTTGCAGTCATTCTACAATTACATTACTCGCCATCCTTTCATCCTGTCTCATCCTATAACAGCAGGAGGTTATCCAGTGCCATAGCAACTATATAATGCTGCTTTTATTTGCAAGTCAGTAGCAATGTCCTAAGCAGCATGTGTCTAGCTGGCGCGTGTGTGGATGCTGTGTGGTTGAGAGTGTCTCAGTGAATCCACTCTCCTGTAATCACGTACATGGCCTACCTAGATTTCATGGCTCCACTCTTGAAAATGTCCTGTATTTTCCCATTTTTTCTTTCTCTATTTTTATTACAGTTGAAAATACATACTTCAAAGGAACAGTCAGTAATGTTTTGTTTATGTTGTGCTGTGCATCTTGAAGTTACACCAGTATTACCAGTGTCATTATAGAAATGAGTAGTCAGCCATGATTCATTTATTCTCTGAAAAAAATTGTCCAATAACAGAGAGTTACAGAGATAAAGTGAGTAATAGTTGGCTGGTCACATGATCTCAACATGGTAGCCCCCATGTGGCAACCCTCATGTAAAATATGTTTTTTTTTCCTAATAAAAATATTAGATAAAAACATATACCTAAATATCCATGGAATAATGGCTAGATGCACTTTAATGTATCTGTATCCTCCTCAGTTTAGTAGGATGAGAGTGACGTCTAGTGGTGACAAGTGGAAGTGGGTACAAACAGAATAATGACCCTGGACCACAAAACCAGTCATAAGGGTCCATTTTTCGAAATTGAGATTTATGCATCATCTGAAAGCTGAATAAATAAGCTTTCCATTGATGTATGGATTGTTAGAATAGGACAATATTTGGCTGAGATACAACTTGAAAATCTGGAATCTGAGGGTGCAAAAAAAACATCAAAATATTGAGAAAATCGCCTTTAAAGTTGTCCAAATGAAGTTCTTAGCAATTCATATTACTAATCAAAAATTAAGTTGAAAATTAAGTAATGATCTTTACTTAATATCTTAATGATTTTTGGCATAAAAGAAAAATCTATCATTTTGACCCATACAATGTATTTTTGGCTATTGCTACAAATATACCCCAGCGACTTAAGACTGGTTTTGTGCTCCAGGGTCACATTTGTGCTCACATTATAATGACGTCAGTGTAACCCATCTTTTATGTAACTTTGACTTCCTTTATATATTCTATTATGACTCAAGGAAAATGAAGCAGTAATATACATACATTAATGATATGACCACTGTTGAGTCATTTTTTTCCCCCTTAAACAGTTTAAAACCATAAGTTTTAGGTCTGTTACTGGTGATTCACACTCACACACATCTGTATGTTTAGACAAATTTAATAAATGATTAGAGATAACAAAGTACTTTCCTTGATACCGAACATAAATATAAACATAATTAGGATAAATTAGGAGAACAGACTGAGCACCTTAAAATTATACTGTGAGATTGAGGTTTTGAACAGTTTAAGCTTACACTGAAAACACTCCAGTCTGATTTTTTTGTACTGAAGTAAAAAAAAAAAAAAACAGCACCGACATTAGTAAATAATGAAACTGACATGACAGAAATACAGATCTGAAAAGTGCCAATTAATATTCTCCAAGGAATCTGAATTACAAAAGTGCTGGTGTGCAGGTGTGACCTAGAAGACAACAGATTTTCTGTTTGAACCTAATTCCTACTGTAGAGATAAAAATCACATAAATATAAGAAAACACTGCATACTAAAAAAATAGAAAGAATAGCACCTTAAAGGACTTGTCCAGTTATCACAGACAAACAGAGCTCCTTAACAAGCACATACACCACCGTTTGGCGTTGGTATTTTTTTTATGTTTTTGAGTCTCTTATGTTCACCAAGGCTGCATCTATGACTTGGTGCTCAAGAAATATTTCTTATTATTGATGTTGAAAACAGTTATGCTACTTAATATTTTTGTGCAAATGGTGATACATGTTTTTTTCAGAATAGAAAGTTGAAACAAAAGTCTTTTGTAACATTATAAATGTCAGTTTTGATCGAATCAATTAAGTGAAGTGACATGTGGCCAAGTATGGTGACCCATACTCAGAATTTGTGCTCTGCATTTAACCCATCCAAGTGCACACAGTAGTGAACACACACACACTGTAAACACACACACAGAGCAGTGGGCAGCCATATTGCTGCGGCGCCTGGGGAACAGTTGGGGGTTTGGTGCCTTGCTCAAGGGTCTCTCACCTCAGTCGTGGTATTGAGAAAGGAAGAGAGCACTGGTTATTCACTCCCCCCACCGACAATACCTGCCGGACCTGAGACTCGAACCCGCAACCTTCGGGTCACAAGTCCGACTCTAACCATTAGGTCACAACTGCCCCCAGTTAAATGCATCCTTGCAGGATAAAAGTATTCATTTAAAAAAATCAAACTTTCAAACGGTAGTGTAATGTGCAATGGCCACTTACAGGCCTATTATGTGAAGTGTAGGCTGGCGAAATGGGGACGTGAAAGGTCTTTATTATATTATCAATTTGATAATTATGCAGCATTATGAAAGTCTCTTATGCTTATCAAGCCTGCATTTATTTAATCAAAAATACAGAAAAACTAATATTGAGAAATATTACAATTTAAAAGAATGTTTTTCTATTTTAATATAGTTTAAAATGTATTTTATTCCTGTGATGGCAAAGCTGAATTTCCAGCATCATTACTCCAGTCTTCAGAGTCACATGATCCTTCAGAAATCATTCTAATATGCTGATTTATTATCAATGTTGGGTTTTTGTTTTTTTTTTGGGAACCTGAGATACTTTTTTGGGGTTCATTGATAAATAAATACAAATCAAAATAGAGATGTTTTCTAACAGTATAAATCTTTACTATCACTTTTTTTTCAATTTAATAAATCCTTGCTAAATAAAAACGTATATGTATACGTATAAAAAAATACTGACCTCTAGCTTTTGAACAGTAGTGTAGGCCTATATTGTTATAAAAGTTATATTTTAAATAAATGCTGTTCTCTCTTTTTTTTTTTTTTTTTTTTTATTTTTTTTTCATAAAAAAATCAAAGAATCTGAAAAAGTATCACAGGTTATAAAAAATATTAAGCAGCACAAATAAATCAGCATTTTAGAATGATTTCTGAAGGATCATGTGACACTGAAGACTGAAATAATGATGCTGACAATTCAGCTTTGCATCACAGAAATAAAATATATTTTAAATTATATTAAAATTTTGATAAAATAAATGCAGGCTTGACGACCATAAGTGACTTTTTGCAAAAAATAAAATAGTAAAGTATCCAAACTGTTGACCTATATATATATATATTTTTTTTTTTTACATTGCCCCTATTTTACATTTGAGCCCCTGCCCCTGATGAACTCTCTGCACATCCCTGTAACACAATTAAGGTTTAACTAGCCAATCATATCAAGAGCAGTCCACTCAAGTGCAGTCAAGTCAAGTCAAGTGCAGTCCACTTAGAAAATGATAGTGTGGAGCTTTTTCTCTTGTAAATAGCGCTTTGGAGCGACTCCGGCGGGGAAGAGGACTAGGTGAACGGCTCCTGACCGATCTGGAAATGAGTAAAGAGAGTAAGTTAGGCTTACGTAAGTCTCATTTGCACTGAGCAACGAAGTGTTTTCATGTCAAACGTACCTCTCCTGCAGAACAGTTTTTTCAGAGGTGAGAAACTCATCTCTTAGGATTCTGACCTGCTTCTCATAGTCATCAAGTACATCCAGCTTTCTCTTATATAGATCAACCTGATCTTGAGCAATTCGCAACCTTACACAAATACACACAAAATAATTTATATTAAATTCTCATACATTTTACTTTCTAGTACACAAATGGTTTAATTCACAAAGAGTTCACGATCTCTGACTCACTCTGCCTTTAGATGTAGTATTTCATCTTCTGTGGCCAACAGGGTGGTTGCAGATTTATTCTTTGTGGAGTCCAGTTCTATCTGGGTGTCAGCAAGCCTGGAATCAAATAAACAATACAGCTGACTCTGATTTATTTTTATGGAGTATAAAATGTAACACTGATTCTTACTGATTACGATGTATTGTGTATTAGGATAAGGGTGCAGTTTGTCAGGGGGTTAGGGTTCTGTTTATATGAACCCTAAACTTTGCAATCCAATTCACACTTTTGTTTGCACGAGCATTGATGTATTCTGAACAAAACTTGAGTGCATGTGCAGTGCCTCAGTCACTGTATTCAGAACTAGAGAAAGCCACAGCTATACTGTAAAAAAAAAAAAAAAATCCGTAAAATTTACAGTAAAAAAACTGGCAGCTGTGGTAGCAACAGTTTAGGTTTTACAGATTTAATTTACATTTAAATACCATATTTTATTAACTGATATAATATTAATATAACCCTAATGAACACAACTGATAAGAAAAAACTAAGAAGAAACATCAAATGTGAAATGTAGCGCGGGGAATTCTGGGAATGTCAATTTACATTTTTTTCACTGTAAATTATACATTATTTTTCTCATGAAATGTCCAGTGCAGTTTTTCACCCTATATAGTAGAGGAACATACCGTTAACCAATTAATAGTTTTTACTATAGCATTTGTAGTCTTTTACCATTCAAATGACAATCATTTTTTTCACTGGAGATGAGTATAACTGTTGTTTTAACCTTGATGACATAGCTAAAGAAATCTGAAAAAATATGTCAGAAGAGCTTTTTTATTTGCAAATATATTGGTAAATATTCAGTCTCCTCAAAATTGACCAGTTTGTAAGACATAATAAAATATGCACGTTAGAAAGATGTAAAATGCATGTGAACAGAGATCAAAGCGCTCTAAACATATGCATCATGGCACTGCACGTGTGCAGGGTATTTTTGAATCTGAAATTTCATTCGAATCGAGCTCAATCAGATTGTTTGAGGTGTTTACATGAAGGCTTTCAGTCCATTACTAATGGACTATTTGGGTGCATGTAAACGTAGCTAGTAATGACATTTTCATTCAAATATCCCCCCATCCCTCTCTGATTTTTAACAAATCACACCCTGATTAGGATGTTGGTAATAAATGAACAGAAGTTTTTAAAGAAATTTGTACAGAATATAATTTTTTGTGATCTATCCCTAAACTGACACTCCTAAGACCAATGATCTTATTTAGACTTGTTACTAGAATTGATACTGACTCCTGTTTAACTGTGTCCAACTCCATACGTGTAGAACACAGCTGGTCTTCTATTTTCTGCATGTCACTCTCATGAGCTGAGGATAGTTCCCGAATCTTCCGACCTTTCTCCATAGATTCCTGATCAGCACACACAAAAGTATACAAGTGCCAACACAGAGATACACACACATACATGCAGGTATATGGCTACTCAAAATAGTTATTTCACTCCTGACAACCATTATACACAAAGCACACACTGGTGGTTGCTAACATGTGGAACAAATGGTAAGGACAGCAGCAGAGGATTCTGGATATCCAACTGACCTGAATGAGGCTAAGGCTGGTATCCGTGGAGACAGACTTAGCTCCAATGGTGAAGCAAGAGCCAAGCCATGGTAAAAGGCGAGATTTCAGTGTGTCAACCCCTGAATAATGTCCCCCTGAGGAAGACAGAGGACAGAGAATCTGCTTGAACATTATTGTTAAACAGTCACCTAGAGGGAATGAACATGTGACATGCTAGAGGTGAATGAGACACTAAATACTGTATTTAAATACTGAAAGTAAAGAGAGGTGCAGATCCATTTGTTACCCTCTTGTGCTGTAAGGTTGAGTATGGTGAACAATTGACCCTGAATTTTAGAGGTGAGCTCCACCAGCTCACAGCACCTATTCAGGTTTTGGTCACAAGAGCACACCTGTGAGAAAAATGATCAAAGGATGTTATAAGATGAGATGAGGCATAGCAAGGTAGTATGTAACAGCAAAAGGTAAAGCAGTAATTGTGGGAAAGCCCCCAAACTACAACAATGGGCTGAATAGAATATCATACTTCCCGATTAGGTAGCACAAAAACAATGCCTTTTATTTTTTGGCATTGCAATAATGTTTTGCTTATAGTGAAAAATAAGTAGACTACAACTCATTCTGATATTCCAAATTCTTTCTATGCAAACTTTGTATTCATGGTTTTGAAATATATTTTTCAAGTGTGTTTTTTTTTTACAAATATCAAGAATCCAAAGTTATTAAGTTAAAATATGTGATATGTTTTAACTTTTAACCTAAATGTATTTTTTAACTTAATATTTTAAAGAAATAGTAAAAGAGAATGTCAATCTACTAGCCTACATTTCTCTCTCTTCTCTTTTTACGGAATTTCAGCCTTTTAAAGAAACACCAGCTAGACATTTTTACTCTAAACCCCACATATCCAATTACTGAAAACTGAAAACATGCTTAGCATATAAAAAACGAATTACTCTCTTCTCAAAGCATTTTATTTAACTTTAATTTCTTGATATGAATAAATTATGTTTGTGAAAGAATTAATGATAACTAAAATAAACTGCGCGCCACTGACCTATATCTGTTAGGCTAGAATTCGTGATTACTAATGATTTGAGAAGATTAGTGTCATTTTCAGCACACGAGAAGAGACTCCCTCCATTCATAAAACACAAGCGTGACGGAAGCACGCACGTTTGCTCTCAGCCTATCAGAAGTGCCCGGAAATTGAGTTGTCCTGACAACGAGCGTCCATAGAAACCAAACTCTGCCGCAAAATCAATGCAAAAAAAGCAAATATTCCATCCAACTCAGGTCTGTTAGATCGAAGCACAATGCAGGACACTCTTGTCTTGTGCATATTAATTCAGGTTGCTTTGCAATTACTCCAGTAGCCTATGTTATGACTATTTAACAACTGTTTTTGTGCATATTGAGTTGTGCAAACTCCAGCCACAAAACAGATGCATCTAAATAGTTAAAATAGGCCTACATGTGGTGAAAACAGTCCCCAGACAAAATCTCAAATACTATCACAATCTAGAATCCGGAATTTGTGCACTTGATATAATACACATAACTGACTAAACATACTGTAAAGTCTGTAACTATAGTAAACTACTATTGTGGTTGATCACAGACTAAGTGCAGCTTCAATTATTGATGACTTACATGATAGTCTTTGTACCAAGCTTCCAGTTTGTCCTGCAAAACGCCGTACGGAGATGAGTTCACCAGTCTTCGTAAAGTGTCAGCCATCGCTGCAGATCTGCTGCTGTAATCCTGCTTCAGGACGTCCCAGTGCAGTTCATCCAGCAGCGCGGGTAACGTTACGCGCTTTGTATTTATACTGCTAGTAAAAGCCCACCATTCACACCCTTGACTTTCAGCGAAACCATGGACGCGCTTTTAGTTGTAGCAACGGTTTGCTAGACTTCTCAATTTGAGGAAATATAGCTGTATAAGCACAACGTGAACAGCCTGAACCATGCGAGCTCTTTGTTTAACACGGCCTCTTATTATGTTACTCAGTGTCTCCGTCTGAAGGTGAAGCTCGGCTCTCAGTGATGAAATCTCACGCTGTTAAGTGAGTGTCAGATGTCAAGTTTAGGAAGATCTTTATTTACATTCTCTGGAAGAACAGGTGTAATGCCTTAACTGATTTCCCGTCATTTAACTTTATATCACGTGACAAAGTTACAAGTCACTGCTCTGATCACAAATTAAATGAAAATAAACAATTCTGAGTAATGCATTGTAGTTACTGCATGACTTAAATGAGTTATCCAGCAACTGTGACCTAGTATAACAAAGTGGTAACACAAATAATGCAATAAACGTTAAATAAATGGCATAACTGCAACATAAAACACCATGTACACATAACTGATCACTTTATAAATAAATAAATAAATAAAACAAGTGTTTACGCAGGGAAATGTAACTTTTTCTATCAATAATGCTTACTTTTTACTCATTTAAAAAATATATTTTGCTGTAAAAGACTTCTCTGAAATGTATAAGGTAATTCATGTTAAACTGGTAATAGCCTCCTGAGAACCAGAAAAAAATGTTTTGTGAATTTTTATGTTGTTTTTTTTTATGTCATTACATTGGTTGGAGCATAAGAAACAAATGGAGAAAAAAATTGATTTTATCCATATTTTATTCTATATTTGTAAAGGACGCCAGGACTAAGCTGTTTTACAAAAAAATAGATGTGAAAAGGCATGTATAGGCAAAAACAATGTTTTATTTTTTCATTCACCAATCAGTTTTTAGGTTTCAGGCTATTTTTAGCCTAACTTTGTACAAAGATGATTCTCAACTATTTTATAAAACAACAGAATGATTTGATACTACTGTACTTTATGGAATATGTAAAATGTCCATAAATAGGTATTGCCATTCTATACAATGTATCTATACATTACATCTAATTTGCATATTAACGTGTTCTTGGGGCAAACCATAATGAAAAAAGAAGTGTAATAATGGGAGTAATAACTTGGGCAACATTTTCATAAGAATATCTCATATTCCATAGGAATATTGATCTATAATTTATTTCCCTATTGACTTGTTGTGTCTCCCCAAAATGCTTGATTAACATGATGTTTGTCCTGGTGTCCTCGACAGAAGACATGTATGAAAATTATGCCGTTTCATAACAAAAAGTCATATTTCGATTTGAAACCCCATATGTTACAATGTTACAAAACATTAGCCTACTTAAAACTATAGCAGGGTCTCAGAGAAATTCACTAAAATATAATGTCCTCTACAGAGTACTTTATTTGTACTTTCTTTATACGGCGAGTCTGTGCGATTCACAACCGGCTCTTTATAGAGGAGGGACAAACCATCTTACATATTAGTCCTGCTCCCTTAAAACCAAGTCGTTCCTTCTTCAACATCGGCCTGTATTTATGGAAAATTTAATTTTTCAGTATAGACATGTTTGAAGTGTATAATCCATGTGAAGGTTTGGCTGTTTGTGAGTATCGTGTGATAACGGTTTTCTCGCAGTGGTTTCTCCTCCGGCTGTGTGTGTGAAGCTGGCAGACTAACAGTGCTAACAGTGCTCTGGAGAGGGAGAGAGAGGAGGAGGCCCAACATGGCGTCCGAGCAGGTCTGTTTTCAATGTGAATTGTAAATCTTTTCTCTTTTGCATTGCTTTTCAAGCGATTTTGAGCGTTAAAACGAGCGATGTATAATAACTTTAAAATTGAAACGATGTCTATGGCGATGTATGTGAATTAATAACGATCATCTGCGCGATTTATGTTCTACCGTTAATGGAAAAATTGACTCATTATTGCAGGGTTACAGTTTGCTGTTATACTGAATAGTGATACTTTTGAGCTCTAAAATAAAACCATTCGCTCGTGTTTATTACTGAAGAAAGAGCTGCGTGTCATTTATTTTTAGCCGCATACAGACATATCTACTGCATTCCTGAAGACAGCAACACTGCTTTCTTTTTTAGCCGTCACACTGTAATAGCATTAATGTGTTTATTATTCATTAATTCTAAAAGAAGATGCATTTGGTGAAAAAAAGTGAGAAATTGTTGTGATATGCTGAGATATGTTATTTTTTGTAGACTCCTTTGTACCCTATAACTCTCTTGAATTTGAACATCGTTTGTCACTATCTAGTGCTCTATCCAAAATATACTAAATACTCCAAAAGATAAGATTATTAAGTACTGAGGATATAAAGTATTATTGGTCCCAAAAGTATTACAGCATTTAAGACCTGCTTAACACTAACACTGAGTTACGTAATTAAATATAAAATATTAAAATGTAATGAAATATCAAACTTTAATGATATTTATTTTAAGCATAATAATCACAAATAGATTTGTTAGAAATTCAATTATAAAAAATGATAAAATGTTATTATATAAAAGAAATGTGTTGTTTAAAATAAAATGTAAAAGTATTTGACATTTTGTGGTTGTCAATTATTAGTGAACATGTTAAAATGATCTACACCGTTGGTTATTATGCCGTTACACCTCTGTGAACTTGAGGATAACTGAGTTCATGTATCTACTAAAAATTAACCTTGAAAACAGTTGGTTGAAAGTAATTGGAAAAATACAAATTCAAAGTGTGGCTTAAGTACTTTTGGGCTACCATAATAATACATACTGGCATAACTGATATTTTACACCCAAACTCAGCACTGCAGCCTAGAAAATATCTTAATTGCAAATCGTTTAAGTAAAGCTGAGTAATGCTATATTTGAAGGGGTTCTTGTATGGTAAACCACTGGTGGCAGTAATGGAGTGTCTAGTAAAACAGACAATAATTGTACCATCTAATGTACCCTCTTTTTTCCTTATATCCACAGGAATTCCCAAATGTGCCGGTGAAGAAGTCCATGAGGGAGAAGGCTATTGAGCGTAGATCAGTTAATAAAGAGCACAACAGTAATTTTAAGGCTGGATATATTCCGATTGAGGAGGAGAGACTCCACAAAACAGGACTGAGGGGTCGCAAGGGCATCATTGCCATTGGCATTATCATCCTACTTTTTCTGCTTGCGCTCATCAACCTCATTGTGAGTTTATCGGTTCTTTGTTGTGTCTGTGATATTAATATGATAGGATATACTCAAAGATTAGCATCAAATAATTTTGGATGCATTAAATTGATCAAAAGTGAAAACAAAAACATAATATCACAAATGATTTATATTTAAAATAAATGTTGTTTATTGAACTTTCAATTCATCAGAAAATTCTGAAAAAAAATATATATCAGGTTTTCCACAAAAATATTAAGCAGCACAACTGTTTTCAAGATTGATAATAATAAATAAGATAAATAAAGGTAATAATTAGACATTTTCAGATCACTTGAGTTACATCTCTACTGCTCACTGAATACAGAGACAGTTATACATTATCTGTGTTTTATAGATAACGCTGGTGATATGGACAGTGATACGGATAGGTCCTGGAGGTTGTGAAAGTATGGAGTTTCACGAGAGTGGACTGCTACGCTTCAAACAGAAGGCCGATATGGGCGTGGTCCACCCACTACACAAGAGCACAGTGGGCGGCAGGAAGGACCAGGACCTTGTCATTACTGGCAACAATAACCCAGTCAGTCAGCATAGTATCTGACTTTCTTTCAACAAGTCTATGCTCTGAGTGTTGACATGAGAAAGTGTATTGATTTAGGTGTTCTCTGTGTGAGTTACAGGTGGTGTTCCAGCAGGGCAACACCAAGCTGAGCGTAAAGGAAGATAAGACGTCTATTGTCAGCGATTTAGGAATCTCCTTTACTGACCCCCGCACTCAAACGACTTTCTTCAGCACTGACTTTGACAACCATGAGTTCCACCTGCCCAAAGAGGTCAAGGTTCTCAACGTGAAGAAAGCCTCTACTGAGAGAGTAAGCAAAAGTACTCATAGTCCTGACTCATGGACTTATGAAACCTGAATAACTGAGTACAAATTGAAATAGTAGTGCCTAATCACATGGCATACATCACTTATACGTCAGAACAAATCATATGAAAAGTATTTTGGTATGAGATTTATGATCGTCTTAATCTAGGTCTTTTGATTAGTCACACACGAGTTGTGTTTGTATAGTGACTCAGTGCCATCCTTTGCAGATAACAAGCAATGCATCATCTGACCTCACTATCAAAGGAGATGGTAAGGCCATTATCCGTGGCAACGAGGGAGTTTACATCATGGGCAAAACCGTGGAGTTTAGCATGGGTGGGGACATTGAGCTAAAAGCGGTAAGTAGTTAAAAGAGTTAAAACGTTTTTCTTCATTTTTTTAGTTGCCAAAAAATAAATAAATACTATAATAAGATCATCATCCGTTAAGATATCAGTCATTACGCCAGTCTTCAGTGTCACATGATCCTTCAGAAATCATTTTTATATGCTGATTTAGTGCTAGAATGTAGTGCAAGAATAATTTCTAATTACTATCAATGCTGAAAACAGTTGCACTGCTTGCTGACCCCAAACTTTTGAATGGTAGTGTATATATAAATGTAAACATATAATTACGAGTGTATGAATGATTTTTTTTCTATTTTCTGTGCAGGAAAACAGCATTATTCTAAATGGCTCAGTGATGTTCAGTCCTTCACGTATACCAAACTCCTCTTTAGGGGGAGACCTGTACTTCAATGAGGGGCTGGAGAGGTATAAACTTTGCATGTGTGCAGACGGCACACTATTCAGAGTGCAGGTCAAATACTCCAACATGGGCTGCCAAACATCCGACAATCCTTGTGGAGCAGGACACTAATGAAAGAGAAAGGAAAACCACTGGAAAACACATACACATGCTTATTAATGCCTTCTTATGAACATTTAGTGTGAACTGCCAAAAGTTACAAAGATGGTAATATTTTTTTTTTTTCCTAAAAACTGGACAATAATTATTAGTGTATACATACCCAATACACAAAAAACACACTATCCGGCCTAACACTCCCACCCAATAGGACAGTTTCTTCTACACTCCCACTCAGCTTTATTAGAGGTCTAAGAACACACACACACACACACACACATACCTCTATGATGATGATGGCTCCCTTATAACCATAAATCCAACCCAGCACAAACAGTACCGTTTTCTTTTATGGCCGAGAGCTCCCTGTGCATTTTCATTGGCTCACCTCAGTGTTTTACAGCCTTTAAGCTGCCTACTTTCAGTCTTCACTGCATGTGCTTTATATATTGTATCGTAGCAGAGTAATTGAGTCCAGTGATTTTCTGAGCAGTATTATTACGCTCTTTTACTATCCCCTCCTGTCATTAATAACTATCATATTAGCACATAAATAGAGGGGTGTTGTTTGACTGATACAAGTGTTAAAATAGTATGTGTCATAAACCTTCTGCATTGTTCTACATGGCCAGTGGGGCTTTAGAAGACTTTTAAGAGGTGATTTAAAGTGGCCAATTTTATTAAACAGCTCAGATGTCATTAAGATTTTTTCAGGGTTGGTTTTTGTATCACAAATGTTTACTTGGTCGTGATTTGAGCCTTTTGCTTTTCATTTCATTTGTAATAGTCTTCACTGATGCAGAATCAGCACAGTCAAGTGGCTTTAAAGCCACATTTTAAATAAGCAACACTGTAAGTCTGATCCTGAAACAGTGGATGGCGATGTATCACTTCTGGAACATATTTTCAAGGCCTGTATTATATTGCCCAATCACCTTCTCATGATATCTTTTGATAAGATAAAAAAAGGAAACTTCTATGATATATAATTGAGTTACCTGTGTGATATTTTGTGCAATATAACCTTCTTGGCCTGGTTTGTCTGGGTATATGTGTGGTATTTATTGTTGTTTCTGAACACAGTATTATTGTGATGTCCAAACTAAAAATCTTCTGTTCTGAGACTGTCAGATGGGACTTTCTTTTCAACCCTATAATGGATTACTCTGTTAACCTGAAACCATCTGATCATCTATGTTTTTAGATCTCCTATGGTTTTAGGCCTTTTCAACATTGTCAGAAGGGAAGTCACAAATATTCTGAATGAAGAGGAAAATAAATGCTTTCATATTGCAGTGTTTTTGTTAATAAATGCAAATGCAGTTTTGATTGAAAAAAACTGTATTATGATTGTTGGGACTATTAGATGCATAAACATGATCAATCTCAACAATAACAGATATTAGAGTTGCTAACTATATCATCTGGCAACTGAGTTAAGATATTAATTTACTTGTCAATTATTAATTTTGGTCAATGATCAAGTGGCAATTCACTAATATATCACTGCATACGTATGTAAAAACTTAATTCTTATTTATTCAACATTAAATATGATTTATTTATTTTTATTTATTTTTTATCCTTAAAATGCTTGGAAGGGAACAAACCTGAGTAAGACATTAACTCAGGCAAGTGAGTGATTGTAGAAATATTGTTCTGTGTGTGTGTATGTGTGTGTGTGTCTGGTGCCATAATGCTATTCAGACTTTGATCTTAGGGAAGTTGGAGTTAAAGTCAAAGAATTTCTCAGTTGGTCTCAGTGTTTTGTTGGTAATTGTCCAGAACTACAGACAGAAGTGTGCCAGAGCCGAGTGGAGAACTGCTACCCTAAAAGGTTAGTTTTAAACAAATATACAATTTTTCCCTTGAGCTTAGGCAAGTAAAGGACTGATGTTTAATCATTTAGACTCTTCAACTGTATATATGTGTGTGTGCATATGATTGATTTTATTGGTTTTGTGGTGCAGCGATGGATTTCATGAGGGAAACTTTCTCCGCGTTCATTCTAACAGCAGTAAAAAAAAATTAATAATAAAAAAATGCACGTGTTTTCTATCTGTATTGTACCATACAAATGCGAGTAAGTACGGAGCCCCTCACATGGCATACAGGAAAAAAATAGGCTAAATCGTGCACAGGATTTATAAATCGAGAGAACGAATTAGTAAATTGTGCGCACGTTTTGTACATCGAGGGACGAATTAGTAAATCGTGTGCAGAATTTATTTATTTTTTCTTGCATGTCATGTGCGGGGCTCCGTAAGTATGCCATATTCTGTCATTAATTTTTCACTTCTCCAATCTGTTGTTTGTTGTTTATATCATTCAGGGCTGACAATAATGTTAGCATCCAGCTCAGTGCTTGGTGTGGCACTGTTGCTCCTCCACCTCTGGGGGACACATTCTTTCCCCACCTCTGCCTGTCCTGTCCCCTGCCTATGCCAGCACGGTCCTCTCCTGAACTGCTCTTCTTTGGGTCTGACTGAGATTCCCACACGCATCCCAGCAACTGCGGTTTCCTTGAACATATCCAATAATGCCCTGCGTTCTCTGGCTCCTCTCAGCTTTGGTCATGTACAATTTAAAGGGCTTCTGCACCTTTGTGTAGGAAGTAATGCTCTGGAGAGCCTGTCTCTGATTTTGAAGGACCGGTCAGGCACTAGGACCCTGTCAAGTGGAGAACAGGAATGCACCTCCTGGGCACCTGACCTTCAGTTGCTGTCTGCTGAAAGAAACCATCTAAAACATCTACCAAAGGGTATGTGCCGCAAGAGTATGTATGTGATACACTTTACTTTACAGCATTAGTAATTTATTCAACACTCTTACTGTAAAAAATTGTATCTCTGTCCTTCCTTTCTCCTGAAAAACATATTCAAATTAAAAAGGAAATCGGGGCAACTTTATTTCTGTCACATTTCTATAATGGTGACATTCACACCCTTATTATTAATTAATAGATAGATAGATAGATATACAGACAGACAGATAGATAGATAGACTAAAAACTTTTTTTTTTTATAGAATCTTTTTAATCTAATTTTATTATGTAAAATCTGTAAAATTCATAAAACCCACACACATTCTCCACCCTGTGGTGAATGACTGTATAATCAGTGGAACTTTGCTCTGTTGCGATTGCACATTCTTCCTGTTAAATTCCATTTAAACCAGTCACAGGATCCTCCCTCAGCATGAGGTGAAAAGAAATCACCTGTGATCTGTCACAAGGGTTGGGTGCTGGCATTCCTTCCAGAGAGTGAATTTCATTATGGCCTTGTATTTTGACCATCCTTCACATAAACGCTAACATTGAGTTCTAGTGTGTTCAAAGGTGTCTTATATTTATTTGTGTATTTATGCACTATTCTATGACATTTTGTAGTGTAGTGTGTTCACACTCAAAATTCCAAAAGGAAAAGTGCACTTCAAATACCCGGATGACGCACTTAATTAACCAAAAAACAAAAACAAAGTGTGTTGAACACTTCATGCACTCAGCTGTCATAGTTTTCCTGATAGGGGCTATTAAATGCAAATGCTATTAGATGACAAAATAATCAACATAAATAGTGTACATATTGTATAGTACATCATTTGGGACACATCTATAATGTGCCATAGCCAACCTGCTGTAATACAATTTTTAAAAAATCTTTCTTGTCAGTTTGGATTGTAATAGAAACACCATTAAAATAGACACCAAAAAGCATTTTGTTGAAATATTTAGAGAAGCTTAACTGGAGGTTTTGTAGAATGTTCATAGTAAGTTGGGGAACAGAAAGCCAATTCAAGCACTTATCATTCTCTTTTAGATTTTGAATATTGTCTCTTCAATTTCATATTCAGTGCTATTCTAATGGGATGGCTAATTCTTTAATTTAATTCTGAAATCCTGTTCCAGGATGTGATTGTCAGTGTTGATAGAAAATTTTGGCAGGGTTTCAATGTTTCTGTGTCTGCCTTGAAACTTTTTTTTTTTCTTTGAAATCCAAAGGGACTTGTTAACAAAGGTCAAGAATCAGATTTTAAATTGTGCTCTTAGCCTTAGCAGATCCCAATCCGGCCAGCCTGTAAGCACTGAATTAGATGGTGGCGCCTCAATGTTTTTCAGCTCTTTGTGATTTAGAGCACAGCCTCAATGCTTCTCTCTGATAAACCCCTGTCCAGCAGACCCCCGTTTCGGCTCAGCAGTCAACATGGTTCTTAAAATAGCCAAGAGAGTTCTCCATCTCTTCTCTGACAGACATACCAGAACCTTTGCAAGCCTTCCACTCTGAATCAACTCAATTCTAGATGTGTTCAAGAACCTTTGTGATGTACTGGTTTGCATTCATTTAAATTATTGTAAGCCATAAATATTAGCCACTAAGTTGCAAATATTATTCGTTAATAGTGAGAATACTATTACCAACAACTTGACAGTAAAGTCCTGAAGATATTCAAGCAGTGTTGCTGCAAGAACCTCCCTGATCTGAACAAGTGGTGATTCATGTGGCACTCCATAACTGCCCTACTATGCTAGGTTTTGTTACAGCCACAGATATTGGCACAAACAGGTGCTTGTGTTTTATGGGGCTAAGGCAGGCTGTAACAGGTAGAGCTGAGATTTAAATCTGGGCGCAGCCACTTGACTTGTATAGGACATCCATGAGCTATAGAGTCACTGTTCTGCCATCCAGTTTTTTCTTTGCATTATATTGCTATGGATTTTAACTATTACAACAATATTTGACTATTATAAGTCAAAACAACTGCAAAATGTCTGACTTTGCTATCTGATTATAAAAATGCAACGCCTGTCAGTGACTCAAAGAATGCATTGATATTTAACTAGAAAGTTTGTTGTTATTCATTGCATTATGTTTACCTTTTTATATTATGAATATACATTTTGCTTTCAGGGCTAGGCTGTATGAAGTCTCTGCAGTTTCTTCAGCTGTCTTATAACCAGATATCTAAGATAGGTCTTACCGACCTGGACAACTGCATTGATTTGAAAGAGCTACATCTCCAGCATAACAGCATCATAAGCATTCACCCACATGCTTTTATAGACCTTAAACAGCTGCAGGTAACATCTCATAACTATTCAGCTTATTTGAGTATCAAGTTAATACCAGTCACATAATATTGTTCTCTTATCCTAAAGGGAAATAATGTTAAGAACAATTTTACATATTTAGGACTGTGCTCCCCCTAGTGGCATATAACAATTAGGTTTTTTTTTTTTCTATTAACTGTCTTTTGACAGAATCTGTAGTTATTGCATAAACCAACTTATCTAGCCCAGCGTGCGTTAAAATGAGGAAAACATTTTGATTGACTCACTAATTCCATCCAGGTCCTTGATCTGAGCTATAACATGCTGGTCACCATTCCTGTTCCTGCCTACCAGTCCCTGCGAAAACTCAACACCTTGGTCGATGTCTCCTTCAACAGATGGAAGTGTGACTGCAACTTGCAGACCTTGAGAAGATGGATTAGTTTTGATTCTGAAATGGGTGATAGTTCCTGGCAAGTGGTATGTGCCTCTCCACCACATCATGGTGGAAAAGATCTGCTTCACCTGAAGGATTCGGAGCTTACTTGTCCAACACATAAATACAGCACATCTGGTCGCTATTATAACATGATTGTGGACGAGGGGATGCAAATATCAATTCCTTGCAGCAATGACAGTCAAGGTGCTACTTCTGCTTACTTGTCTGTATCAGAAGTTATAAAACCACAGTCTAATGGCGCTTTTCCACTGCATGGTACGGCACGGTACGGTTCACTTTTGGGGGGTTTTCCACTGGGTACAGTACCTGGTACTTTTTTTAGTACCACCTCGGTTGAGGTTCCAAGTGAACCGTACCATTACCAAAACATGACATGTAAACTCTGCTGATCACTGATTGGCCGGAGAGAATCGTCACTACCTGCGTCACTGAACTTGCGACACAAACACAACAGAACCACTAGATTTAAATCAGCACAGCCAGTGAAGGATCGAATGCAACTGTTTTGAACGAGCGCACCTTTTTTTAACAACCAAAAAATGGCTGTTTCGTGGTCTGTTGAGGAAGTACAGACGATCCTCTCATTGATAGCAGACCAGCGAGAGCTTGATGGGGCGACGCGGAATGAAAAAGGTTTTCAGGAGTCGCGGCAGTAGGGGCGGCGCAACTATAACGACATGTGAATAATCCCGCCCACTCTAAAGCGATACTAAACTGCAGTGGAAACGCAAACCGAGCTGTGCCGTACTGAGCCGTGCCAAGCCGAGTCGTACCACACAGTGGAAAAGCGCCATAATATACTGAAACAAGACATATTATTCAAAATTTTTATTCATAACTTTCTTTTTTGCAGTTATATATGTAACTCCTAACATAATGCACATTTAGTGATAGAATTCCCTGTTATTTTTATTCTAGATATCATGCAGGTTCATTGGTGGACTCCACATGGCCAAGTCACAGATAACCAACCAAAACTTCTAATTAAGGACATCACAGAGCAGCATGCAGGACTTTATATATGCATTTCAGGTCTTCAAGGGGAGCACATATCAGTATTTGATCTACATGTCTATAAAAAAGGCAGTGGCTCAAGACCACGTAGGGAAGCAGCAACCATCTTGGATGAGCAAGAAAATACAAACACACCAAGCAATGATCCTGTTGTACAGGAAAGGAGCCAGTCAGAATTTGTCCTTGCCGTCTGCCTCTCTGTCATCATTACATTTATTGTAGCCTTTATCCTTGGTGTTCTTTTGAGACCACTCTTAGAAAAATTATGGAGAAGAATACAATCCAAAAGACAATCTACACCACCACCAACAACAACCTCCTCCACTGGGCCCCAGCCATATGTGAATGAAGGGTACTGTGATGTAGAAGACCAAGAACAAGAAGTGAGAGTGGGTTCAACGGTTACATTTGGTGGAATCACTGAAGTGGAAGATCAAGTGCCATACTACGTTACTGTAGAGAATGATCAAGCAGATGGCTCCTCTGAGAGTAACACAGAAGTTGAGGCTCTTCATGAGAGTATTGAAAGAAATGAATCCTCAATAACTGGTGGGAAGCAGCAGGCCCTTGAGATGGAGGATCACAGAGGAAGAGCAGACAGCAGTAGTAGCAGCTCACTACAGGAAGGGGAAGTGTATGCTTTAGTCATAAATGGTAAGAAACTGCCACCCTGCTCAACCGAAGACATGGCAAAATCCATGGAATTTGAGTCAATTCCAGATGCAAATTATATCACCCAGTTACAGAGAAGGGGCAGTTCTTCAGCATCATCTCAGTCAAGTCAGGAAGGTAACTTCTCAAGAGAAAATGAAGAAAGTGTTGACCCTCCTGCTGTCACTATACCGGCAAACGAAAACACAATGGGTAGAATTCCAGGATTTAGTACCGAGCCGTTTTCAGAATGGTCAACCAGACTGACAGAACAGAATGTTGATAATTTAGACCCAAGGTTGTGGAATGACAGTGGAGAAAGCTTTTCTTTCACTGATGGCTCTGAAAGGTCAAGTATCTGGGATCTCTCCAGCTCTGCTTTAGGACACCCACTGAAGGATGATGACACATGGAGGCAAAGCAAAGTAGAATCACCTTCAGAAAAAATAAACCTCGATTCAGAGGTTCTTGTTTTTGACAAACCTTTTGGTAAAGAACTTCCTGTTGATGATGTAAAGCAGTTCGAGCTCTCTGACATAGAAAGCTCCTCTAATTCAAGTGAAAGTGTAGGTGGACCAAACAATTATGTTGTAAACCCAGAGTTAATGGATGAATCAGACACAGGAAACTATGCAAACCTGGTCACTTTAAATAGATTTGGCACTCTTGAAGATGTCACTTTAAATGAAAGAATGCCTAGTGCTGGCATTCTTATAAGACAAGAGACTCTGGAGCCTTCAGACATACATATGACATTTACTCATGGAGACAGTGTTGATGAGAGTATGCATATTTATGACTCCCTGAGAAAGAGTGAAGATGTGAACATATCAGACAAGTTTGGGATATGTGTAGATGTGGGTCTTGAGACAGTGCCAAAGGTTAAAAGATATGTTGAATTTAAACAGTTCAAACCTCATTCTGGACCTCCAACTCTGCCATCATTTTCTACTTCCTCAACAAAGAAGAACAACACCTTATCAGATATGGAGGTGAAATATGAAGCTAACATTGACACATTCTCTGGAGACAACAGATGCTTAACACAAATAGAGGTTTCTCCTGATAGAATTCAGAAAGTGAAGAGATACATTCACTTCAAACAGCCTGAACCTCATAACCCAACTCTGCCATCATCACCCTCCTTCACCAAAAAGGATGATAAGCTAGAAGCAAAAAGTTATAGCTCATCTTCAGATGATGATGCTCAGCGGACAACTAAATGTGACAATTTAGATGTATCTTCTTATGGAGTTTCAAAAGTAAAAAGATACATTTCATTTAAACAGCTTGAATCTTCCTCCCCAACTCTGTCAGTACCCAGACCTTCAACTAAAATTGAGACCACAACTGAGGAAGCAATAAAATCTTTGCAGCAAAGCACACCTAAAGATTCAATTCAAAATGTGAAGAAATATGTGTATTTTAAGCAGTATAAACACCATTCCTCATCTCTGCCATCATCACCTACCTCTACCAGGAAAGGTTTATCAGGAAAAAAGACTAAAAGCAAAAAACAACATGATCAATCATATTATGGAAGTCATGATAGCCTGCCACTATACCATGTCCATCCTGTCTATAGGTCAAGTATAAACAGACTGAATAGAGGCTATGATACTGATAGATCATCTTCCAGTGAAGAAGATGATCAATTTTTGGAGTACCCATCAAAATTAGAGATTACAATAGCACCTGGGATAAACAGAGGATCCATCACACCAGATAAAAACACAGACAAAGTCCTCAACATTGACTTTGATAACTCCTCCAGCAGCACAGATGTATTTGACAAGAAACATTCTAAAGGTCTAATGAGATTAAGAGCATTAAGTGCACGACTGTTCAACAGACACGAAAATGAAACAGATGAGTGGAATCTTCAATCACAAATTCAAACTAAGTCACCAACGGGTTCAGATTTTGGAAGAACTGGAGGTGTCTCTATTAATAGGCAGCAAAAGGTAACTAAGGTGACCACTAATGAAGACAGTCTCTTTAGAAAAGGTCTATCCCTTGATCATTTACCAAAGGTGAAGAGATACCTTCAGTTTTCACACTCTGATTCCAATCCTCAAGTCCAATTACCATCTCCTCCACCAACCACTGGGGTAGTCACGTCTGAATTTATAATGACAACTGAGTCCAGGAGATCCAGTTTCTCATCTGAGGATGATGTCAAACAAACCACTGAAGATAAAAAGTTTGTTGTACAAGTGGATACATCTTATGACGGAATTCCAAAAGTAAAAAGATATATTAAATTCTCAAGCACTGAACCTTGTTCGACAACACTACCCTTGAACAAACAAAGTATATCACCTGAACTAGTGGCACAACCCGAAGCAAGAAGATCAAGTACATCATCTGAAGATGATACCAAACTTACAACCAATGAAAACAATTTCTTCGGGAAGATAGGTGTATCTCTCGATACAATGCATAATGTTAAAAGATACATTCAATTCAATCAGCCAAAACCTTACTCTCCAGCTCTAACATCTTCACCTATTTCAACCAAGAGGCCTGTGGCAGTAGTGGAGACAAGTTCCAGCACATCTGTCAAGTTGGATGACAAATCTGATGCTACAGAAAACAATTTTGGGGGGCAAATAGATCTTGATGCAGTATCAAAGGTTAAGCGATATATTCAATTTACACAGTCCAAACATCATTCTCCAGCTCTGCCATCAGTTTCATTCTCTACAAAAAGCACAATTGATAGGGAAATTAAATCTGAAGGTACAATTGACACATCCTCTGGAGACCAGGGTTATTTAACGCAAATAAAGGTATCTCCTGAAAATATTACAAAAGTGAAAAGATACATTCACTTCAAGCAGTCTGAACCTCATTCACCAACTCTGCCAGCATTACCCTTCTTAACTATGAAAGATGCTATACAGGAAACGAGATATAGCTCATCATCAGATGATGATCAACTGACAACCGAGGAAGATAATTTCTTCAGGAAAATAGGTGTATCTTCTGATGGAGTATCAAAAGTAAAAAGATTCATCACATTTAAACAGTTTGAACCTTCTTCCCCAACACTATCAGTATCCAGTCCTTCAACTACAATTGAGGCCACAACTAAGGCAGTAACGTCTATGCTCACCAGCACCTCTAAAGATGATGTCAGATCTCAGAATGACAGTGATAATTTCTTTGCTAAAACAGATGCATCTTTTGATGGTTTGCCAAAGGTAAAGCAATATCTTAAGTTTAAGGAAACTGAACTTCATCCACAACACATTCGGTCAACATCTTCACCTTCAATCTCTGGAGTAGTTAAACCAGGGAAGGTGGAAACTGAATTATTTGGAGAGATAGGTGTCTCTCTTGATAGAGTACCAAAAGTAAAGAGATATATTCAATTTAAACAGCC